CCATTGAAATAGGTTGTATGCTGTGTTGTTGTAGCCATGTTGGTCCCAGGAATTAGAGACACAAGGAAATATTGAAAGGTATGTTAACTACTTATGCTAAACAATCTGTTTCACTTTGTATTTAGCTGTGACAATAAGCATGTTTCCCAGACATGAAGGGCTTGTCTTTATTACCGGGGTAAGTCGACTTAAGTTACACTACTCCAGCTACGTGAATAACGTAGCTGGAATTGACGTAGCTTAGGTCTACTTACCCCAGTGTCTTCACTGCACTGCATTAACAGGAGACGCTCCCCGGTCAACTTACCTCAGGCTATGTCCATGCTACCGCAGTAAGTCAACCTCTGCTATGCAACTCCAGCTACGTCAATCATGTAGCTGGAATTGATGTAGCTTAGGTTGAGTTACCGCAGGGTCTACACCCCAGAGGGTCGACAGGAGAAAAATCTCCCATCAACTTACCTTACTCTTCTCGTCGGGGGTACAATACAGGAGTTGACTGGAGAGCCATCTGCAGTCAATTTGGTGGGTCTTTACTAGACCTGCTAAATTGACCGCTGGTGGATCAATCTCAGAGCATCTATCCCTCGTGTAGTGTAGACCTGCCCTTACTCTTCTCGGGGAGCTGGAGTACCACAGATGACTGGAGAGCGCTCTGCTGTTGATTTAGGACTTCACTAGATCTGCTAAATCGACACCCACTGCATTGATTGCAGCAGCATCCATCTCCCCAGTAGTGAAGACAAGCCCAAAGAGCTCTGTGTAAGCTTGTCTCTCTCACCAACAGAAGTGGGTCCAATAAAAGATATTACCTCACCCACCTTGCCCACCTTTAAAGTGACAGCTTAGGTGTTTTATTACTTCTTCAGTTCTTTGATTAGGGAGAAAGCCACCTCAGCCCTTTGGGTGCAATAATAGGCAAGCTAATGCTACACTATCTCCTGGATCTCTTTCATAGGTCACTCTAATTCAGAGGAAAACCAAAGGCCATATCTGGGTATGGAAGTTGTATGGTGGGCCATGAATGCTCATGAAATTGGGGGTTGAGGTGCGAGAAGGAGTGAGAGCTCTGGCTGGGGGCGGGGCGCAGAACTAATGAGTTCAGAGTGTGGGAGGGAGCTCTGGGTTGGGGGTGTGGGTGGGCTCCAGCTGGCAGTGCAGGAGGGTGGGAGGTAGATCAGGACTGGGGCAGGGGCACTGGATGGGGTCAGGGGTGTAGGGTCTGGGCAGCACTTACCTCAAGCAGCTCCCAGGAGCATGTCCCCCCTCCAGCTCCTCTGTGGAGGCGTGGCTAGGCAGCTCTGCGTGCTGCCCCATCCACAGGTGCCGCTCCTGCAGCTCCTATTGGCCACTGTTGCCGGCCACTGGGAACTATACTTGGGGCAGAGGCAGCGTGCAGAGCTCCCTGGCTGTCCCTATGCCTAGGAGCTGGAGGAGGGACGTGCTGCTGCTTCTAGGAGCCGCCCAGAGCCACAGCAAACATGGAGCGGGGCAAGCCCCAGACCCTGCTCCCCCACAGGATCTCAAGGGCTGGATTAAAATGCCTGTAGTTTACTCTCCCCTGCTCTAATTGCAGTAGACCACACTCATCTTTAACTGGATCATTCTGTCCTACAGACAAGAATTACACACATAACAATAGCCAGTAGGATTTCTGGGAAGAAACATTTTATTATGGTGAAGTTTTACATTAAAAGAATGCCCTTTGTACATTTTTCTAAGGGAGTTTAACAGTTAAAAAACAAAAAATATGCTGTTTTCTTTCAGTATATGTTAATGGAAGATTAACAAAGACTTGGGTAATTGTACCAGTGATGTGTTTATTAGCCACCCATTTTACTGGTGGCTGCATAAAGACTGATATTTGCTAAACTGAGACAGGCTTAAATGGACTTCAGCACTAGTCTATGACAAATTTATTATGTCAGTGACACCTATGTAAATGTTATGAATACTTAGTTGGGTATAGTAGGAGTTGCTTATATACAGTTTATGAGAAGGCTTCAAGCTAGACACATTCAGTGCAATTTGGGAAAGCTAGCAGGAGGCAAAAAGTCAATGTTAGTACAATTTTTCCCCACTTATACTGGTCAGTGGGACAGAACAGTATGAAGGAAAGTTCATGTTACCATAGTAGGATTAGCAGCTGATGGAACCAGCCAAACCCCCCTCCACTGTCATGTTGTGTGAGGTGTCAAGGATATCCCTGCTCTCAATAGTAGAGGCTGCACATTCCATCACCCAGCTTTCATTAAAAGTGATTTTGTCTCAGGCAAAGTAACTTCCAGGCAATATTTTAGTTGAGAACATTAGTCCTATAGAGAGATAGAAGCTTTCTGAATATTTACGGCCCAGATTTTCTAGGGAGTTGGACACTAACACCTTCCATAAGAAGTAGGGTTGCCTAGCGCTACTAAGAGAGAGATGCTTTAGTGTTGTATACCAATGCTAGTCCACAGATATTTAGAACTAGAGACCTGAAGTCTGGCCTTTGCAGGGAAATTACAACTTTAAAAAAAAAACCAACAACCATGGAAGGAAGGGTGTGGGGGCAGTGCAGAGCGGAGAAATTTGCTGATGCCATATGCATCCATATCCCTCATCTGTAGTTTCTAGCAGTTGGTTAGTTTGCCTCTGCCCTTCTTTAAAGGAAAGTTTGGTACTAAGTTTCAGTTATTCATAGGGTGCCAATTGAAGAGCTTAATGTATCAGATCAGAGGCCAGCTGCTATCAAGCCTTTATTAGACTGCATACACTGTTAAGTACCCTTCTCAATATGAAGCCTTTCCTTACCTACATCACATTCTCATGTAGGTAAAAGAAGCTAAATAAGAATCAAAGGTTGAGCTCAGCTTTAGAATTTATTTAGCTTCTAACTTATAAACAAGGATAAATTATGTACTAAATAACCCTAGCCTAGGCCAGTAAACTTGAAAGTTTTCAGTATGTTACTCTAGCTCACACCAATACACTTGGTCATTTTCCTCTCTCCTCCCACTAAGCCAGGCAGTCACAGAGGACGATGAACTGCACTCCAGAGTCAGAACTCTCTACCACTCTGTTTTTGGAAGCATGCGACCACAAACAAGTTAACTGTAGGATAGAAGTGCCATGAGCTTAATGACAAGATTACTTGCTGCCATAATTTGTGACTGCAGCCAAAGAAAGATAACTCCTACAGCGCAGCACCACTGACAGAACACTATGTATAGAACACCTGTGCCATTCAGCTTCAGTTACTGAACTTGAGTATCTAATCAATGTGACCTATTCAGCGTTCAGTAGAAAAGGGCAATTCTTTAATATCAGTACATTTGTAGCTGTTCAGTTGAAGTTCAGCCAGGATATGGACTCTTCTTTCCCTCAAGGCTCACTGGTTCACTCCCTCAGAGC